CCGCCCGCGGGCGGTGGCCTTCCCAGGACGCCCACTTCCCGTCCGCGGGCCAAGACTCCCTGGGACGCTCACTTCCCACCAGTGGGACATGGATGGCATCCTGGGATGCCCTCCAGGGGGGGGGGCCACTTCCCGCTGGCGGGAGCTGGGCGTCCCAGCAGGGCACTTCCCGCCAGCCTGCCAGCGGGAAGTCCCCCTCCCCACCCCCTTGGGCGTCCATTTCCCGCCTTCGGGATGGGGCACATGCTGCCAACTCGCGCGAAATTGAAACCAAGGATGTTTTTTTGCGCGCGCGGGAAGTTGCTTCACTTCCCGCGCGCGGACAGCAGGCCTTCGAGGGCCCCATTTCCTGATGGCGGGAAGTCTCGCACAATCCGCCCCCATCGCGCCAGGACAGGACCTGATGCGAGTTTCCTCTGGCGAGAAGTGGGCCTCTTCATGAGCTTCTTTGGCAGGTGAAACGGGCGGCATGGCGCTGCCCAGGCGAGGCCGTGCTGGCTCAGACGTCCTGCGCATCTCCCGAGCCACAGAAGGGGCCCTCCACGACGACCGAGGCCCCTGGGCTCTCGCTGAGCTCGGGCGTCGCCAGGCTGCGGCTCTTCAGCAGCCCCCAGGTGTCGCACTGGTCGCACGCCCTGAACTCGGGCCGCAGGTTGCACGGCCAGCGGCCGAGCTCCTCCCGCACCGTGTCCATGGCACGCAGGGCGCCGTGCAGCCAACAGCAGGCGTCCCTCGGCATCGGCGCGTTCCAGTGCAGCATCAGGAACGCCAGGGCGAGGGCCTCAAAGTTCAGGGGCGCCGACCTGGACTGCGAGTGGGCCTCGTGCTCCAGCGAGTTCCCGAGGCTCGCGGTCTGGCTGCCCGTCAGCAGGAGCCCGCATGTGTCGCACTGGCCGCAGACCGCGACTCCCAGCCCTCCCTTGCACGGCCAGCTGCGGAGCTCCTCCCGCACGGTGTCCACGTGACGCAGCGCGCCGTGCAGCCAGCAGCAGGCGCCCCTCGCCGTGGGACCCGTCCACTCCAGCATCAGCAGCACCAGGGTCAGGGCCCGCGTGCTCAGGGGCGTCAGCCGGTGTTCCGGGCTCGCCAGCTGCTCTTGCACACCCCCGGGGCTCTCGCGAGACGGCGCTGCGGTGCGGCCCAGGGCCTCCCCCGACAGCATCGGAAGGGCGGGCTCCCCCACGGGGGGCGGGCTCCCGCCCAGGGCCCTGTGCTCACTCGCGTGGGGCAGGCTCCCGAAGCCCATGTCGGACGCGAGCGCGACGACGCGGGCGTCCCCAGCCTGCCCCAGCGGGCCCTGGAGCTCCTGGTGGGCCCCGCTGGCCGGGGTGTCCGCGGCGGCGGGCCCGCCGCTGGCCAGCGGCTCGCCCCCTCTGCCAGGGACTCCGTCGACGGGGCTCTCGACCGCCCGCTCCTGTAGGGGGGGGGGGGAGCAGGGCACCTCTGAGGAGAAAAAGCGGCACGAACATAAATTGTTGGCGCTCCGCGGGGACATTTTGGCTCCGCGCGGGGCCCCCCCCAGGGCCGCCCCTGGCGCGCTCCGCGCGCCAGGGGGGAGAGGGGCCAGCCAAGACCCAAGACATCCGCGCGGAACGCCAAAAGTTTATGGCTATGGCGTCCCATACATGCGACGTCCTGATTTTTTTCAGGACGGCGTCCCTAGAAGTCCAGACCCTTTCCCCGGGGCCAATTGTTCATCTTGATTGTTTGTTGACGGTCTCGAGGCCCCGCGAGGGCCCCCCGATGCCGACATTCGCCAAAAACCTCCAGCCCTGTTTTCTTTTACGACGCGACCATGTCTGGCGTTTATCTCCTTCGAGGAAAAAGGCTACCGCCACCGCCCCGGCGCCGCGCGCTGACCTGGATCCCGAGGCGACTCCAGCGGTGCCTGCCGAACGGGCGCTCCAGGGGCCAGGAGGCCCAAAGGGGCAGGGGAGGGAGCGGCAGGGGCGCAGCGGTGTGGGTGCCTGTCCCTCCTCTTCCTCCTCCTCCTCCTCCTCCTCCTCCTCCTCCTCCCCTCCTCCTCCTCCTCCTCTCCTCTCCTCTCCCTCCTCCATATCCTCCTCTCCCCCTCCCTCCCCTCCCCTCCTCCCCCTCCTCCCCCTCCTCCTCCCCTCCCTCCCCCCCCCTCCTTTTCTCCCTCCTCCTCCTCCTCCCCTCCACTCCCACCCCCTCCTCCTCCTACCCCTCCTCCTCCTCCTCCTGGCGCGTACCCGGGGGCGCGCACCAGTCTACCCTCAATTAGTAGCAGGGCGCAGCCGCTCATGAGCTGCACGGACCTGCGGCAAGAGCTCACGACACCTGTCTGAGCACAGTCCGCCTCTTTGGGGGGGGAGGGCCCTAAGATGATTTCGCAGAGAAAACGCAACAGCTGGGACTTCCAGCGGCCTCGATGACGGAGCGAGGAGGCCGAGACGGGAGACCGCACACGGGGGGAGGCCACACAGCACCACGGAGGCGAGGAGGTCGAGGAACACGGGGCAAGAGAGATAGTGCGACGTCGAGTCTGGAGCACAACAGCCTAGTATACAATTCTTTCCTCGGTCTTGAAAGCGGGCCCCCGTCACCTATCCTCCAGACATGGTTTTGATGAAAGCAGTGACCCAGGGGCACGGGAACTTCAAAACTTCGATCCGGACAGCGCTCCAATCTACCCTAAGAATGGGGCCTCTGGAATCAGGAAACCACTTCAGAAGACGAGATTTGAAGGCGGAGTGGAGGCTCGGAGGAAAGAGGTGGAGGTGCAACTCCCGAGCTATGACTCTCTGGAGATTGGCCTTCGGATCGCGGGACGCATTCAAACCAGCTTCCAGGGCCTTCTTTCCAGCCACCGCCCAAGCTGGCGTCGAGGGGAAACCGCGGCTAGCCTCCCTCGAAGTAGCAGCCATCGGGGGTGTGTCCCAGAACGGAGGCGACAGCTGGCCCGCCGCCAGTTGGGCAAGAGATAATTCAAGCGCTGCAACATCATACAGTCGATGGTACAATTTCGGCCACTCGCTGAAGGTCTTCAACGCACGCCGCATCAGAGCGGCCAAATTTGTGACCAGTGCACTCGTCAGCCGCGATCCTCCCCAGCTGTCGAGCTTGAAGCAATCAGCACGGCTCAGGGAGCAGCGCGGGACAGAGAGCACTCAAGTCAAACACGCATGCTCGACGCGCGCGAAGAACGGCGGTAGCACGGAGTGCTGAGAACTAGACGAGGGCACAGTGACAGCACGCGTGTTATAAGTGTGCGCAGTGACAGCTTGCGGCGCTCGAGACGCGGCCAAATCACACGCGCGATCATAATGATTGCACAATGGCGCCCCCCACGAGGAATCTCGCGAGTGCGGCCCCAGGAAGACTCCAAGATACTTGAGACGCGGCAGGGTCTGGAAGGCAGACCATTCGGGCACCTGCTTTCCCAGCCGGGTTCTGATCTCTCGGACGACTGCTGGCGTGCACGGAGCATGCAGAGGCACGACGCAGCACTTTGTTTATCTCCAGCACAAGACTGGCAACCCTGGCGGCGGCTCTGAAGACGACGGCCATGAGTCGGAGCACAGTGATCTGAAATAGACAGGCTCCGACGTCGTCAGCGCACGCTTTGACCTCACCTCCCCCATGGGGCAACGACAAGGGAGCGGAAATGGAGGAGGAAGGGGTGCGAGGCGACAGAGTAGAGGGCACCAGAGGCGGGGCACCCTTGGATGATGCCCGAAGAGATGGAGAAAAGAAAGCGCTGGGCGTAAGAAAGTTGGCCAATGCAATTGACACACTCATATATGAGACGCAAGAAGACCAGCAGCGGCGGCGGCAGCGTCAGACATTCGAGCGAGCGAAAGATCCACTCCTGCGACACAGACGGGAACGCCTGCCCCAAATCAAAGCCTACGAGGAGGGGCTTGCGATCTAAACTATTTGGCTTAAGTCCCGTGATCCTTGAGGCCGTATCTAGCTGCAGCACATTCATTCCAAAGTTTCTTCCAGGCATAACGCCCCGCTGGTCACGATCGATAAATTCTGGGATTTTTCGGGAAAGCGCTGAAACACACACTGCGGTGATAATCTTTACATGACAGTTTTTCAAGCCTAACGGGCGCGTCTGCAGGGCCTCACGGGAGATCCTACCCTCGTCCTCCTCCTCCACATCCTTGGGGGTCCAGATACCCTTCATGCCGTTGAAACCGTAGAGCATGGGCCCCCCAGACAAGCACCAACGGGGCGTCTCTTCCAGGATCTCAACGCCGAACGGGTTATGTTTCCATGCCACGTACGAGAGAGTGTCGGGCCCTGCCGCACCCCTGGGCGCAAGCTCTAGCCGGCGGCGAATCTGATGGGCCCCGGGCGGCGGGAGGTCCGCCAGGTCCGCCGCAGGGGCGAAGCGAAACAAATGCTGCACCGAAGCGACCGTGTCAATCGGTTTTGCCTGGAGCACGGGGCCCCACTCGCGTGCCAATCCTTCCAGCATCTGGTCAGGGTCGGTACACGTCTGATCGTCGACCTTCAAACCTTGCAAACACAACTTGCGATCGATTTTGACCCGCAACTTCCCCCGCCGTTCTAAACCGCGAGCCCGTCGTCGAAGTTTGGCACGCTGTTGGGGGGGGGCGAAAGGTCAGACAGTTCTGCTCGGGCTTGTGCGCAAGCGGAGGCGTTCAGCGAGGCGTTCAACTCGTTGGTCAGAACTAAAAACTCTTCAAGCTCCAACAGACGGACGGTGTGCGAGAGGGGGTCCACCTCGAGGAATCGACGAGCGAGCTCGTGGGATAGCTGTAACTTCGAGGCTAGGACCGAGACCTGTTTCCAAATCGCACGTCCGATCGTTTTAGACACCATCCATCTCGTGAACACGTCATTCGGGTTTTTGTGGATAAGAGCATCTCTGGCAGCACGAGCTGCCTCCCTCATCACCGACTTGTGGAACTCTAAAAGCACCGGCGTGCTCAAGCGGGTGACGTCCACCTGCTTCAAAACGTTATGGGTGGACTCACCGTGCTCAGCTCTCAGGTACGCATCGGGATGAATAGGGCGCTCGGATGGCTTCACGGGGTCCCTGGGCTTCAACGTGACAAGAATCGCGGAATGATATGAGAGCTTAGTGCGGCGGTGAACCTCAGGGTGGCCAACGACCTTGGCCCCGCACGAGAGGTGCGTGAGAGGCCAACCAGGGAGCGTGCAAAAGATCCTGTCGATCGCAGACAACGACTTCTGCGACTTGCAATAGTGCGTCGGCTCGGGGACCTCGAACCCGACAAGGCTTTCGACGACGGCTGTCCAATCCTGCCCAGCGGTGCGGTGCCAGTCGTGAACAGGGGCGACGGTGGCCCTGAAAGTTTCTTCCGAGAGTCCCGAGGCGAACGCGTGTTCAGGAAGCGGCGGGGTTCCAGCGAAGTTGAAGTCACCCTGGGCGAACGTAACAGACTTCAGAGTAGTCAGTTTGGACAGCCTTACGTCTCCACGAGCTCCGAGCGGGCCCCAGGAGAGATTCCAAAGTTATCAATATTCCAGTGCGCAATAGTGAGGCCCTCGGGGAGCACAATTTGGAGCCCCAGGACCCGACCATCGATGGGGATGCTGTGCGTGACCTTCGGGGGGACTTTGAACGACTCAACCTCGGGGAAGAAGGTGATGGCACCACCGGCGGGGTGAGTATCAGAGGGTAGAAACGAACAAATAGCTTCGACGGGCCGATGTAGATGGTAGAGGTAATCACGGAGCTCGTGAACAGAACCGTGCGCTTCTTGATTGCCTATGATAGCACCAGGCTGTAGGAGACGAGGGAGGTAGCGCAACTTCTTATCACGAATAGGGAGCTCGCGGTGGAAGAGGGAGCGAGCGCCCCAGCTGCCCAAGCACAAAGGCCTTGGCTTGCCCCCGCGATCTCGCCGCACAGCGGCGAGCGGGCTAGGACCACTGCGGTGGGCGCTCGGGGCCCTCAGCGGCCTCCTGGGCCACGGCCTCGACGCCCTCCACTCGAATCCCCACCTTGAGCAGAGCAGCACGGTCCCACTCGATCTTCGCACTCTGACCCTGGCGCGGCGTGAGCTTGCAGACAGGCGCCCACTGGCGCGAAAGCTCTCATCGCTCCCTGTTGATGAAGATGCGGCGCCCAGCACAGACGCTCTCAATCGCCTTCCCGCGCGCTTGAGCGCCAGCTCCTTGCGGACCTGCGCGGGGCTCTTGTCCTCAGCGACGTGCAGCTGCACCCTCTGGCCCTGCAGGTCAGTGATGACGAACCTCTCCCACTTGTTATCCCCCATCTTGAGCGCGCCCAGTGCCGCGCGCACTCGACGAGTTGCCACCGTGGTCGTGCCTCTGACACAGATGTTGAAACGACGTGATGCAGGCTCACCTTCATATGTGATGCCCTCGTCCGACAAATTTGCCCTCTCAAGCCACGGGGCCAACGCGTTCTTGCCAGAGGCCAAGTTGACCAGCGACGGCGCGCGGGCCACGATGATCGTCGGGTCCGTCTCCCCGTCGAACGTCGGGCTGACCTTCTCCGCGGGCGGCTTCTCAGAGGCCAAGAACTGTAACTGCTTTTCCATGCGCTCGATCATTTTATCATTCGCGTCGAGGTTGTGCGCATTGGCGGCACACTGTGCTTCCACGTTGGACACACGGAGCTCCACCTGGCGAGATAATGACGAGCGTGGCTGATGAACGGTAGATGCAAGTCCTGCCACGCTCTGCTGCATTTTGGTGATGGCGGCGAGAAGCTCATTTCTGGTTTGGTCCACGTAGTTTTTGATGCCGATGTCACCGTCGGCTCCACCATGCTGCGCAGCGGGGTGCGCACGAGGAAGATCACCTGACAGAGCCCGACCACCACCAGCAGCAGCATGACCACCACGCGCAGCGCGAGGAGGAGGCGGCTGGCGTGGATGTTTTTTCACCTTCTTCACCGTCCGCGGCGAGAACGTCTTCACCATCGTCTTCGAGTCGGGGCGATCGACTGCGGCGCTCCTCTCGATCATCCTGCCCGGCATCGTCGGGTAGCGTCGGGGTCTCATCGAGCATACGACGAATCTCCAGACGCTCTTGCTCAGACTTGGCCTCCCATGCAGCAGACATTTTTCGCTCTCGTCAGAAACAGCACCCAAAAAGAACTCTGCAGAAGGTTGCCCAAAAACTGGGCCCGCGGCGCACGAGCGCTCCCGCGGGGATCGTGACTGCACAAAAAGAGGCCTGGTGCGGCCTGCTCGGGAGGTGGCCACGGAAGGGCCAAAGCTAATCGCTGATTCTCGGGCATCTTGAGCCAAAATGGCTACGGACCTCCTCCTCCTCCTCCTCCTCCTCCTCCTCCTCCTCCCCCTCCTTTTCCTTTTCCTCCTCCTCCTCCTCCTCCTCCTCCTCCTCCTCCTCCGGGCTCCAACGCGCCGCCCGCAAAACGGCTCAGCACCGCGGCGAGGTGGTCGCTGACGCTCTCCGTCTGGGGGCGCAGGGCGGGCGCCGCCTGGATGCACTGCTCCACCGCCGGGCGGCAGGCCCGCGCGAGCTCGCTGGCGGGGGCGGGCCATGCCAGACTGGGCGGCCGCGGCTGGCCGCGCCTCAGCTGCTTCTGCACCTCGAGAGGGAGCACCCGAGAACGCCTTCTGAGGGTGATTCGGGGGCCACCACACATCGGCCTAGGCTTCGGTCGGGCGTGTCCTCCCGCAGGCGGATTTCGGAGGAACGTTTATGATTGGCAAAAAAATTCCAAACATGCAGACAAATACTGAAACAATCGTCCCCAGACTATGTTATGCCTAGTTTCGAATATTCCTCCTGTAGACGGACATGCCAAACTTACGACTAAGCTGGATGCGGGATCTAGCTGGACTAGGCCCGATCATGCTGTTCTGCGGCCGCGGATCTACATGCGCCGGCTCTGAACTTAACCTTCCAAGAGTTGCATCCTGAATCACCTGCTTGGTGTGCTTGTCCTCAAACGGCAGGCGCCCTGTCAGGATGAGGTACGTCAGCAGCCCAAACGAGTAGCAGTCGGCGGCGTCGTCCGGGGGGACGGCCTTGCGCGAGAGCAGCTCTGGCGCCATCCACCGCAGCGAGCCGCCCAGGGGCTCGGCACTGGAGGTGACGAGCCGCGAGAGGCCGAAGTCGAGGAGCTTGGCGTGGTGGGAGCTCCGCCCGCTCCGCCTGCGCCGCTCCTCAACGAAGACGTTGGAGTCCTTCAGGTCGCCGTGGACGACCACCGGCTGCCTCGGAACACGAAACTTGGGCGTCGCGTAATGGGGGGGTCGTAAATGGGGGGGTGGCGAGGGTGGTCCGAAAAGGTACCCAAAAAGGTACCTAAACGAGCCCCCTGGGGCTCCGGAGGGGCCCGAAGGGGGCACGAAAGGGGACCGTTTCTGACCCCCCCGTTTATGACCCCCCTGTTCAGTCACGCCCAAGAAACGGCATGAACATACACTTCCGGCGCTCTGGAAGGTTATGCTTATGCAGTGTTCACTCGTTCCACTGCCTCGAGTGCAGGTGGCGCAGCGCGTTCAGGATGTCGAGGATGAGCGCGGACTGCACCGAAGCGCTGCTGGCCAGGCCACTGGCCTGTGAAGGGGTAGCGGTAGGGGGGACCTGGGAGCGGCGATACTTTGCTGGTAGAGCGGCAATAGGCCCCCGATAGCGAGACCAAGAGGTCATGGGAAGGGTGGGTCATCGGGCCCCTTTGGACGGCGATGGGCCTTGGGAGCGACAAGACAATGTCTTCAATCCGCTTTTGTTTTTTCAGTGTTTGCTACTGCTTCCTACAAATTGCTTGTTGGCGCTTCCAGCGCAAATTGCGCCAATGTTGTACCTTTTCGTTCCCCCTGGGGGGGGGCCTGGTACAGATCACTGTTTTTCATTGTATGCGAACCTTTTCGGACCATTTCTGAGCGTCGATCCTGCGGATCGCCTGACTGCCCAAGTCGTCAGGTGCGTTTTCTGTACGACCGTATCCATGAACTTTGATTTGTTCTGCCGACTTCACTATCAAGGGACAGTTCTTGGAAAACAATTAATCTATCCCTGTAAAGAAAACAATTAATATATCCCTGCAAAGCACCTTGAGCAACGGTGAAGAGGCGGGTCGAGGAGTAAGAGGTCGGCGGTTTATATGGGGGACATGGGCGACAATAAGGCAATGCGCACCATAAAGAACCTGTTGCAGAAAAGATCGCGGCCGTCAGGGCCAAAGAGGTGGCAGGCATGCGAGCGCACAACTCTTGAATCTATACAGTGGGGGACAGTCCACAAGAAACCCAACCATGAGGCCCAAGGACGTCCATTGATTTTTAATGTGGGAACGTCACACTTTCCATGGCAAGCCCGTCGAAACCCAAGAAACCCAGGGCACCTGGAGGCAAGCAGGGTGCTTCTTGGCATGGGCCCCACTGCAAGGAGGACGTCTCAGGCGAAACGGCTGACGCAACAGGTCTGGGGGGCCCCGCTCCCCCCCCAATGTGGGACTTTCCTGTGGCCTCATTCTTCTACCCCTGTTAGAACCCCCATGGAGCGAAACGATGGCAACGACAAACGGTGGTCCCCCTACGGGCGGATTTTGCACGAAGAATTAAGGATACCCGAGAAGTACCCCGACATAGTCAAACAAAGAATCCAACAATCGTCCCGACTTAATCCTGAGCCTGTCCCCCCCAAGGAGGAGGAAGAGGAGGAGGCGGAGGAGGAGGAGAAGGAAGAGGAGGAGGAGGGGGAGGAGGAGGAGGAGGAGAGGGAGGAGGAGGAGGGGGGAGGAGGGGGAGGGGAGGAGAGGGGGGAGGTAGGGAAGGAGGAGGAAGGAGGAGGACGACGAATCAGGAGCCCCCGGGCCTGGGGCGCGCCCCGGCGGGGCTCCGCGGCGCCGCGGGGGCCGCGGACGAAGGCGCCCAGGGGCACGCCGTCTACGAGCTCCAGCACCAGGCACAGCTTGCGCAGGCCGGCGCCCAGGCAGGCCCCGTAGAGGAAGGCGATGTTGGGGTGGCGGATGCGCCGCAGGATCCTGAGCAGGGAAGGGGGGAGGAATTCGGTGGAATTCGCTGATATCCACGGGGTGGCAAAGGGAAGGGGCGAGGAGGAGGAGGAGAGGGAGGAGGAGGCGGAGGAGGAGGAGGAGAAAGAGGATGAGGAGGAGGAGGAGTAGGAGAAGGATGAGGAGGAGGAGGAGGAGGAGGAGGAGACCCCCTCCCCCTCCAACTTATGGTGGTGGTGGTGGTGGAAAACAGGCCCATCGATGTTTGGGTGGCGAATGCGCCGAAGAATCCTGAGCAGGGGTTATGTTGCTCCCATCCGACTTCAAGGACTACGTCCCAGAAATTATTTCGGCACCCAGAAAAGTGTCGAGAGAGCGTCGAAACACTGTCGAAACAGTGTCGAACAGGTGTCTCCCAGGGCCCGACACGTGAAAACCCTCGAGTTTCGGTACTGTTTTCGGTGCTCGAAAGATCCTGGTGATCAAGGCTAAAGTAGGTTGGAACATCATAAGGCTGGGGTCCGTTCTGCGTGTTCGTTTCGCTTCGAAGCGGCCCAGGACAGCGCTTCTTCTCACGAGCACGGCGTCCGGCCCAGAACGCTGCTTTTTCACACGAGCACGGCGTTCGGCGCCCAGGCACGCCCCGTACAGGAAGGCGATGTTGGGGTGGCGAATGCGACAAATGATCCTCTGCTAAGACGAAGCCAGGACGAGGATAAAATCGGGTGTGGATAGATCGAGAATCCATGAGACCCGCCGGCTCTGGAGGATGCCTCGGGCGCCGCCGCCTCCTCGGAACGTTCCGGAACGCCCTGAGAGCGTTCCGCAACGCTCTAAAACGGATTCATCTTCGTCCTGGCCCCGTCCGACCTCAGCAGGGGTTCTACCAAAACCGCGTTCTGCGTCGTCGTTTCGTTTCGAGGCGGCCAGAACAGCGCTTTCACACGAGAGCGGCGTGCGGCAGAGGTCTGTCAAGGCAGCACTCGGCAGGTGTCTGCCGATGCAGACCGAGACGGCGTCCAACATGGGCCAATCAAAACAGCTCATCGACACCGAAGCTGCCCAAGCCTACCAGCCAAGGCAGCGCTCTGAAGCGAGTCCGAAGATGTGGCTGGCCAATGGTATGCAACAGGATGAAAACATAGCGAAAACGAAGAGCAAGCGAAAACGGTCCACGAGACGTTCAAACGAAGAGAGCAAGCGAAAAGGATCCACGAGACTGTCAAACGAGAACGAAGAGAAACGAAAACGAAGAGCGAACGAACACGAAGAGCAAACAAAAACAATCCTGAGCTCGTTGCAGAGCGCGGGGAGGCACGATCTCAGCACGCCTTCGCGGACCATGTCCTCCCTCGGTGCCTTCACCGCCACCGGGGTGTTGTGGTACAGCCTTCGGTGGCAACTCATAGAAGCCTCCCATACCATCTTGCCAGCTCTTGCGAATCGACGCTGATCAACGCAAGTCGACGCTTATCGTCGGCAAATCGACGCTGACCGACGCGAAGTCGGCGCTCTCTGGCCGACTCCCAGAAGCTATTCAACGCTGACCGACACTAAACATGGAATTAAGAGGGTACACCTGGCTCCAATGATTTGATGCCGAGACAGCCCCATCACGACGAGGCCGAAGCCGCCGCTGCCCAGGACCCCGTCGGTCAAGAGCTGCACCTTCAGAGGAGCAGAAGCGGCGCAAAAATGTGTACCTTCGGGGATGTGCGCTGCTTCCTTGGATGGCGCCGGGAGCGCGCCACCGGCGCCGCCAGGGCGTTCCGGGGCAGCTCTTACACGTCCGCGGGGAGCTCCGGAAGGTTCACGGCTCCACGGCGCCCCGGAACTGGCGGACGAGAGCGAGGTGGCGGGCGCGGGCTGGGTCGCGGGTGGGTCGCGGGGCGGGTCACTGGTGAATCGCGAGCGAATCTCGGGCGAGGTCGACGAGAACGAAACTACAATAACGACGACAATAACAACAGCAACAACAACAGCACCAACAACAACAATCATTTTTAGACTGTTCGCTCTTACTGGCACGCGTGTCCTGCATTCCGTCTACCCCAACCCTGGGCACCTGCCCACTCAGTCTGCGATTGCACCCCATTTCGGGGGAATCTTGTCCTTGTCGGCCACTGACTGAAGAGCGAGGAAGTCTTGAGCGAGAGCGCTGTTTCTGAATGCGGGGGCCTCTCTGGCCAGGGGCTCTCGGAATACATTTGGAGAAATATCGAACGGGAACCCTTGTCGCCGTGTCCGGGCCTCCACCAACTTGCCTGAATTACGAGAAAGTCTCGAGCGAGAGCGCCGTTCCTGAGTTCGCGGGCCTTCTTGGGCAGATGATGCGGGCCACAGGGGCAACGACCGGGCCACTGAGGGTAGAAACGGGGCCACGTAGGACAGCGAGGGGGCCACAAAGGGCGACAGCGGGGACACGAAGGGCATGCATATGGGGCCACGACGGGCGCGACCGAGCGGGAGCCACGAAGGGCATACGTATATTGGGCCGCAGAGGGCAAGGACGGGGCCACTGAGGGCCGCAACGGGACCACGAAGGGCAACAAGGGGGCCACGAAGGGCGACAGCGGGGCCACGAATTGCATGCATATGGGGCCACGACGGGCGCGAACGAGCGGGGGCCACGAAGGGCATACAGATATGCGGCCACGAATGAGCAGCGAGGGGGCCACACGGGGCTGCAATGGGAGCCACGAAGGGCAGCAAGGTGGCCACGAGGGAGCGCAACGGGGTTTCGAAGGGCAGCGAGGCGGCCACGAAGGGCTGCAGCGGGGCCATGAAGGGCAGCGAGGTGGCCACGAAGGGCTGCAACGGGGCAACGAAGGGCAGCGAGGGGGCCTCGAAGGGCTGCAACGGAGCCTTGAAGGGCAGCGAGGGGGCCACGAAGGGCTGCAACGGGGCCACGAAGGGCAGCGAGGGGGCCACGAAGGGCTGCAACGGGTCCACGAAGTGCAGCGAGGGGGCCACAAAGGGCTGCAACGGGTCGCGAAAGGCAGCGAGATCCAGATGCTTAAATAAGCTGCGAGGGAATCCGAAGCGTGAGCGCGAGTCCTGGGTGCCTGCGTGTCGGGATCGCGGCGCTTCAATAAGTTACTGGGAATTCCCACGCAAGGGCGCGATTCTTGAGCACGTTGCAAGCAAATCTCCATCGAGAGCACGACTTCAGAGCGCCGAGAGAGCGATTCCTGAATAAATCGCAGGGGGGTCCCAAGCGACAGCGCGATTCCTGAGTAAAATGCGGGTCTCAGGCGGGAGCGGGGGTCCTGGATAAATTGCAAGGAAGTCTTAGGCGGGAGCCGTTGCTGTTATTGTTGTAATCAGGGGGCGAACGACGCAGTTTGAGACTAGTGGCACGCCGTGTTAAAGAACAAGGTGCGGGCCCTGGGGGGAACACTTCAATTGAAAAAGCACAACGATCACCGGAGGAGGGGGACCAACAATAAATATTATTCAATCGTGAGAATTCAACACCAACGATCATGTTAGCACTGTTTCAACACGTAGATCCCGAACCCTCGATACCAGCCCTCTTCGTCTTCGATCGTGCCGCCTGAAGGGTATATTATTTTGTTATCTGCAACGTTGCTGAAGCGTGCGTCCTGCAACAATCGCGGGGAAGTTTCGAGCGATAGAACGATTCCCAAATAAATCGTGAGGACATCCAGGCTTCCGAATAAATTGCGAGGAAGTCCTCACTTTCCCAAGAGGATGCGAGCAACGGGGGGAGCACATACATTGAAACATACACTGGTTACCGGAGGGGTGAGAGCAGAAACAATTATTCTTTAGAAATGCATCTTCTTCTTCAACATCAACAACAATAACAAACAACAACAACAACAACAACAACAACAACAACAACAACAACAACAACAACAACAACATCACCGACAACAGCAATAACCTATACACTCATTTAGCACGTAAATCCCAACACCTCGATACACGCCCTACTCGTCTTCGATCGTACCAAGTGGAGATATGTATCTTTCTGACCTGCAACGTAATTGTCATGCAACTCCTACGGCATGGCAAGAGAGGATGGATGGGAGGAGGGGACCAGGGGCACAAGAACAACAAAAACAGGACGGGGGCGAGGAGCAAAGAACACGTGGCAGAACCAGACGGTAGTATCGGGCGGGTCGACCCTAGTGGGCGGGTCGGGATTGGCGGGCCCAAGCGGCCAGGTCGAGCAGGCGGGTTGCTGAAGCGTGCGTCCTGCACGAATCGCGAGTCTTGAAAGATACTGCGATTATCAAGTAAACCGCGAGATTGGCCAAAGCGAGCACGTGATTCCTGAGTGTCGAAGGCCCGGCGTCTGAATAAATTGCGAGGAAGTCCCACGCGAGAGTGCGATTTCTGCATGAATTGTGAGGGCGCCCCGCGCGAGAGCGCGTTGTGGAAATAAACTGTGGGGAAGAACCAGGCGGGAGCCGTTGCTGTTGCAAATCGAGGGCCAGGGCCCGATTCTGAGACCCAAGACCTTCCCTGAGCAAAGAACAGGATGCGAGGAACGGGGAGGGCACTTTGATTGAAAACAACAATGCCCTGGAGGGGGCGGATCAACAATAATCACTCTTCAAAAGTGAGTTCAACAACAACGACAACAACAAAAACAACAATCATGTTGAGACTGTTCGCTCTCATGCGCTCGCCGGCCACTCAACATGCACATCCCGAGCCCTCGATACCCGCCCTCCTCGTCTTCGATCGTACCTCCTTGGGGGTATACGTCTTTCTTACCTGCAGCGTGTCTTTCGTGCAACCCCTGAGGCAGGAGAAGAGAGGACGGATGGGAGGAAAGGACCAAGGGGGGGCAAATCGCACCAGGCTGCCTGCGCTTCGGTTTACTTCGAGTTGAGTAGCCTCGACGGTTCTCTGGCCGCTGCACGCTTCAACGACCGATGGGTAAGCAGGCTGCTGGGATCCGGCGAGGCACCCCGCGGGACTCTGCGCCCGGCCCCGGGGGAGCATGGAGCACGTGACGAAAAAAAACGGGAGGGGGGCCGGGAGCAAAGAACACGTGGCAGAACCAGACGGGAATATCGGGCGGGTCGACCCTGCTGGGCGGGTCGGGATTGGCGGGCCCAGAGGGCCAGGCCGAGCAGGCGGGTTGCTGCCGCGTGCGTCCTGCACGAATCGCGAGGAAGTCTGGAGCGATTGCGTGATTCACAACGAACTCGTGAAGAACGCCACAGGGAGAGCGTGATTCCTGAGTGTCGAAGGCCCGGCGTCTGAATAGCTCGTGAAGAAGTCCCACGCAAGAATGCGATGCTTGCAAACATTGTGAGGAAGTCCCGCGCGAGAGCAAGGACAATTCATCGGGAGCCGATGTTGCAAACTAGGGGTCAACGAACCAATTCTGAGACTCAAGATTTTGCGTGACAAAAAGATGCGAGCCCTGGGAAAGGGCACTTCAACTATTACTTGTTTTTGTTTTGTTATATATATATATGTTATTTCTTACCTTCTATTAACACATGAAAAGCATGTGCCCGAGAGGGGGGAACATCAACAACCATTATCATTTAGAAACGAAGCAGCAACAACACCAACAACAACTGCCACAACAACAGTACCACCAACAACACCAACCATAACAACGGCACCACCAACAACAAACCGTTTTGGACTGTTCACTCTTAATTGCTCGCGTGCGGGTCACTACGTGAACCTCATTTACACGATATCAGAGCCATTCGTCCCACCCCGCGACCCACCCGCGACCCACCCGCGACCCACCCCGCGACCCACCCCGCGACACACCCCGCGACCCACCCCGCGACCCACCCCGCGACCCACCCCGCGACCCGCCCGCGGCCCACCCCGCGACCTACCCGCGACCCACCCGCGACCCACCCGCGACCCACCCGCGACCCACCCCGCGACCTACCCCGCGACCCACCCGCGACCCACCAGCGACCCAAACCACGTTCAAGGTACAAACCACCATTTTCGGCACCTGCGGCGGTTTTTTGTTGCATTCCTTCTAGGTGGAGAGCCCGCGACCCACCCCGTGACCAACTCGCGACCAACCCGCGACCCGGACCACGTTCAGGGTACAAACCACATTTTTCGGCGCCTGCGGCGGGCATCTGTTCCATTCGTTTCAGGTGGAGAGCCCGCGGCCCACCCGCGACCACGTTCAGGGTACAAACCACATTTTTCGGCGTCTGCGGCGGGCATCTTTTGCATTCGTTTCGGGTGGAGAGCCCGCGGCCCACCCGCGACCACGTTCAGGGTACAAATCGCATTTTTCGGCGCCTGCGGCGGGCATCTTTTGCATTCGTTCCTGGTGGAGAACCCGCGGCCCACCCGCGACCCAATCCACGTTCAGTGTACAAACTATTGTTCTTGGCGCCTGCGGCGGGCTGCTTTTGCCTTCCTTCCAGGTGGAGGTGGAGAGCCCGCGACCCACCCGCGACCTAAACCACGTTCACTGAACAAACCAATGCCGCACAAGCGCGGCGGCGGATTTTTGCATGCCGTCTGAGCCCGCAAGGACCTCTTCAAGCCCCGCGCATCCTCACCAGCCCGTCCAGCAACTCTGCCCTGGCGAGTTGTCTTGATCAGAGAAGGCGGGGAGCATAAAGTGGGAAAAAAGATTGCGTTGCAGTTGCCTTTGGGAAGGAGGGGGAGGCAGGAGGAGTAAACAGGGGACGAGGAAAACGCGGAAGAAGAGAGGATGTAAGGATAATGTGGAGAAACAAAAGGAGGAGGAGCAGGAGGACGAGGAGGGGGAGGAGGAGGACGAGGAGGGGGAGGATGATGATGATGGACGACAATGGGAGGACGATGATGGAGGCCGATAAGGGGGAGGACGACAATGGGAGGACGATGGTGAAAGGACGAGGGGGGGAGGGGGAGGACGAGGAAGAAGCGGAGGAGGAGGACGAGGTGGAGGAGGAGGATGACGATGAGGACGAGGACGAGGACGAGGACGAGGAAGAGGAAGAGGAGGAGGAGGAGGAGGAGGAGGAGGAGGAGGAGGAGGAGAGCGCCATCGACAGGGAAGGTGGGGGCCACGAGGTCCCCCGGCTCGACGACGCCCGCGTCGCCCGCGCCCGCCCCCTCACTCTTATCCGCAATTGCGGGGTGCTACGTATATCAGAGCGAAGGGGCCGAAGGGTCATTCATTGTCCCTGGGTGCGTGGCTGAAGTGAAAATCCGTGCTTTGGATTATGCTTGTTGCGATGTTGTTGTTGCTGTTGTTTGTTCGCCCCCCCAGCGGCCCACCCGCGACCCACCCCGCGACCCACCCCGCGACCCACCCCGCGACCCAACCCGCGACCCACCCCGCGACCCACCCCGCGACCCAACCCGCGACCCACCCTGCGACCCACCCGCGACCCAACCCGCGACCCACCCCGCGACCCACCCCGCGACCCACCCGAGACCCACCCGCGACCCACCCGCGACCCACCTCGCGACCCATCCGCGACCCACCCCGCGACCATCCGCGACCCACTTGCGACCCACCCGCGACCACCCCGCGACCCGTCCGCAACCCACCCGCGACCCACCCACAACCAATCCACATGAGTTTGAAGAAAACATCTGCGCCTGCCGCGGGGCGGGCTCGTTGTATAGTTTGTGAAACTTTGGCGTCTGCGGCGGGCTTCTCCAGAGTCTCGCAGACTGCCGACGTCCCCACCGGCCCCTCACTCTTATCCGCATCTGCGGGGTGCTACGAATCCGCCGGCCCCCTTGTGGGGCCACCAGGCTGTAGGCGCGGGATATTTCTCTTGCCTGCAACATGCAGCTCGTGCAGCCCCTAAGGCAGGGGAAGAGAGGGCGGGTGGACGGGGCAAGGGGGAAGGAGGATAATGCAGCACGAAAGACCCTCACGGGCGGTTCGGGAAGGCGGACCCAGACGGCCAGGTCGAGCAGGCGGGTTACTGCCGCGCGCGTCCTGCATATATCGCGAGGAAGTCTCGAGCGACATCGCGACTCTGAATGAAATCGTAAGGAAATCAATCGGGGGAGCGTGGTCCCTGAGTGTTGAGGGCGCGACGTCTGAATAAATTGCAAAGACGTCCCACGCGAGACTCCTGCGTACATTGTGAGGAAGTCCCGCTCGAGAGCGTGACTTGGGAATGCACTGTGAGGAAGTATCCGTCCGGCAGGAACCATTGTTGTTGAACACGGGGTCCAGGGGGCGCAGTTTGGCCACACTTTTACTTGTAGAGAACAAGGTGCGAGCCCTGGGAAAAGCACCTGAATTCGAAACGATTATGTCTACCTGGCAAGGGGGAACAACACAAAGTATTCCGAGGACATGACAATCCAACAACCACAACAACAACAATCATTTTAAGGCTGTTCGCCCTCATACGCGCGCGTGTCAATCAGCATGACTTTCCCGAACCCCCGATACCCGCCCTCTTCGCCTTCGATCGTAACCCCCCTAGGGATCAGAAGCTTGCTTACCTGCAACCTGTTTTTCCTGCAGCCCCCTTGGCAAGGGAAGAGAGGACGGATGGAAGGAAGGAACAAGGGGGAGGGAGAAGGATGGAGCACGAGAGAAATTAGCAGGCGAGCTGCGAGGAGCAGAAAACACGTGGCAGAACCAAGCGGGCACATCGGGCGAGTAGATCCTAACGAACGGGTCGGAGAGACGGGCCCAGTCGGCCAGGTCGAGCAGGCGGGGAGCTGAAGCGTGAGTCCTGCATGGGCAGCGCGGAAGCTTGGAGCGATAGCGCGATTCCTACATGAATCGTCAGGAAATCTACCCGCGAGAACGTCCCGCGCGAGAGCGCGATGTGGTAATACATTGTGAAGAAATATCCAGCTGGAGCTGTTGCTGATGTTGTAGACCGGAAAACAGGAACCCACTTTGGTGACACCTCACTTTCCCTTCCACAAGCCGGGTGCGAGCCCCGGGAGAAGCAATTTAAAAAAACAAAGGTTACCTGGCAGAGTGGGATCCACAACACTCTTTTCATGTATAAGAAAGCTCCGAAAACAACAATAACAAGACAAAACACAATAGCAATAACAATGATTTGGAAACTGTTCGCTTCTATTGGTTAGCGTGCCATTCAACACGTATATCCCAAAGCCTCGGTACCCGCCCTTTTCGTCTCTGATCGTATCCCCTTGGGGGTAGATCGTCCTTTCTTGCCACCAGCAATTAGCGCAGCCCGTACGATAGGGGAGGGAACAGGGGACGGATGGAAGGGGGAGGGAGAATAATGGAGCACGAAAGGCATTAGCAGGAGAAGGGCTGGGAGCAGAAAGCACGTGGCAGAACCAGACGGGCAGTTCGGGCGGGCAGACACTAGCGGTCGGGACGGGAGGGCGGGCCCAGGAGGCCAGGTCGAGCAGGCGGGCTGCTGAAGTGTGAGACCCACACGAATCGCGAGGAAAACTCGAGCACCAGCGCGATCTCCAAGTAAATCGTGAGGACGCCCGCAGCGAGGGCGTGTTTCCTGAGTGTCGAGGGCGCAGCGTCTGAAGAACTTGCGAGGACGTCCCACGCGAGAGCGAGATTCTTGTATACATTGTGAGGAGGTCCCGCGCGAGAGCGCGATTTTGGAATACACCGTGGAGAAGCATCTAGCGGGAGCGTGCGATTTTGGCATTAATCGGCGAAGCGTGACCGCTAAGCCGTTGTTGTACGTCGGGGGACCACGGCGCAATCAGAGCCTAAGGACTACCTATCGTAAAACATAAAGTGTGAGCCCCAGGGCGAATACTTCGATTAAAAAAACGCAGGGGGCACTGGGGTGGACAAGCAGAACTTATCCCTCTGTAATGAGAGTTCAACACAACAAGCAGCTGCCGCCAGACGAAGCGACCTTTGGCCACGCACCCAGGGACAATGAATGACCGTTCGGTCCACTCGCTCTGATGTGCTTATATAGGCCTCCTAGGTGGGGTTCGAGTGGATGGGGTCGAAGGATCGCGCCGCATGGCCAATGCATCGCCGAGGCATCGGCGATGTATCGGCGATGCACCGTCGATGCATCGTCGACGTCGGCGTGGGGAAGCACGGTCCCCACATCGAGCCGCATCGGCGATGCATCGGCGATGCGGCGCGATCCACCGACCCCGTCTGCTCCGACCACATCTAGGAGGCCTAGAGCTTTGCTGATCCTGGAACCTCGCCACTGGCAATCAGCCACTGCTCCTGCTCGCCGATGGCGCGGATCAGTCCCAGCGACGGGTGCTGCGCGTTGCGGTCGAAGGCCGCCGCGCTCAGCGTCGAGCCCGGGCGCGGCGGCGCGGCGGATCCCTCAGAGCCGGGGCCCCTCCCCCACGACGACGACGACGACGACGACGACGACGACGACGACGACGACGACGACGACGACAAGGACAGCAAGAACGACAACGACGACGACGACGACGACGACGACGACGACGACGACGACGACGACGACGACGACGACGACGACGAGCGCGCATCTCAGGGCGACGGTGGCGACGCGGGCGACAACGACAACAACTGGGATGGATGAGCGGGTCGGGCGGGCGGACCCCCTCGCCACCTCCCCGCCGCTGTCCACCTTGGACAGCTCGAACTCCGCCTGGAATCGCATCTGCTTCTCCGACAGGAGCCCGGCGAACAACAAGCGCTCCTTTCGCTCGGACGCCCTCTTTCCAACGGCCGACAGGGCCACGAGGGCCAGGATCCCGAAGATGTTGAAGGGGACCTGCCCCATGGCTGGGCTGCCGAGAAACAGCGCGGGCCCAAGGTATGCCAGGACGGCGGCCACCTGCAAGGGAACGAGGACCACCCAGCGGATGGGCATTAGCAGGTGCACAGAGGTTACGGCCAAGTCAATCATCAGCACCAGATTGCAGTCGGTGGCGCCCATACCATGGCCCCAGATGGCCTCCGTGTCCGCATGGCCGAAGGCCCTCGCCATGTAGTGCTTTGGGATGAGCACGGACAATATCATTCCGACAGTGATTCCTGACACAACGATGACCTCCAGACCCAAGGTGCTCACGAGGTCGCGCTTGGCGCACAGCCTACCAAAGCCGCCGACCACGAGCAAGAACACGACGAGGCCAAGGGTCAACAATAACTGCCACCTGCTCAGGACCCGGGCCTCCCTGGTGGGGTACCGGGAGTCGTCCCAGAACTGGCGGGCGGCCAGGTTCAGGAAGCACCAGACGCAGATGGCGGCCATACCCAGCGCCATCTGGTGGGAAAGCTGCGCCTTCCGAGCCAGAAAGACTGCCTCCGCCGACCCCTGCCTGCCGGGGGCTCAAAAGCTTGTGGGGCATGTGGCGGTCCCCCTCCAGCTTTCCCCCTCCCAGGGTTCCAAAATCCCGTTCTTGGGGGGGGGGGGGGGGGCGAGGGAGGGGCGGGGGGATGAGCTCCTTGACACGACCCGGGGCTCTCCAGAGCCTCCAGAAGCCCCAAAACGGCCCAAGGGGGCCGAAACAGAACACCAAGACAGTAGAAGAGAGCGTGGAGAGGGCCCCGGGTAACCCCGCGATGGTCCAAGATGGCTTCAAGACAGCGCACGAAGCCCCCAGGACGGCGCAAGAGAGCACCCAGAGGACCACCGAGGGTGCCACACGACGCAGCAATCGCCTCACTCTCCAATCTACTCGGCGCTCCCTTCCTAACGGGTCCAACACAGCCTAAGGGGCCCCCGAGATCGTCCCGTGAGGGCCCATGAGGCCCCCAAGAGGGCCCGAAGACGGCCAACTGCTGCCCCAAGAGGGCCCCTAAGACGGCCCCAGGGGCCCCTGAGAGTGGAACCCTTCGCGAGCGTGAAGTCAACACCCGGTCGCTCCACATCCAGCGCCCTGGACGTCCCTACTCAACTTGGGTGCGAGACCAATCTTTGCGCAAGAACCACCGCCCGCAACAGTAAGTCATCCCAAACACGGTTGGGGGCAGGCTCATGCCGGACAACGCTGCGACCTCGCGGCGAAGAGGCGCACGTCGCGGCGCGCAGGCGCCCAAGTAGGGGAGTACCTGGAGCAGAAACTGCACTCCGTGGTGGTGATGCGTAAAAGTCGCTCCGCTTTGTTGAAGGGGCCCTGGGACACACAAATAAATACACATGAATGGAAGGATTCCCCATAGTTCCCCATATTTTCTGGGTTTTTGTCTTCCCCCCCACTTCCCATACTTTCCCGTATTTTCCTGGGAGTGGACGATTCATTGCGTCTGCGTGTTTTTCCCCTCCTGATTTGCACCCCAAACCACATAGACGCCACCACCGCGCGTGTGTTGACGAATGCTGCGTCGGTCCTCAAAGAGGGAGGGGGGGGGGCAGCCAGGCTGCCCCTGGCGGCGGGAGGGGGGCCGCGGGTCTGCCCACAGACAGAACTGCACCACACCGCACCGTAGGTTTTTGCTCCCGACCCTGGCGGTGGCGGTCATAGACTGTGCTCGGATGGGGGTCGGCGGAATGGCGCAAAACGTCGAGATGGTGAACTTGTTTTTTGCTCGGCGTTTCGACACTCGGTCTGGCTCCGGACCTCTGCTCAGCGAGACTGTTTGCAACCCTGCGTCCTGCGGGGGAGACCCCACCCGCTCGAGACAGGCGCCCGAAACAGCCAAGACCTACCAGGCAGGGAGGAGAGGGGGGGGGGGCGAGGGCCCGCGCCGATCGGCAAACCAAGAAATAAGACAACGAAGGATCACCAACTGTTCGGAGGTTCGCACGGGCTTCTCGGATTGGCGCTGGGACCCCCTATCATGCCATGGCGCGCGGAGCGCGCCAGGGGCGGAGTCGCGCCGCCAGGGGCGCCCCCCCGGCGCAGACCCGAGCAATCCGCGCGGGACCTCTGGAGGCCTCGGTGCGTACCACGCCTGGCGGTGCGCACATACAGGCGGGGCGTTGACCTAAGGAACCCTAAATAAGGAACGGGAACGAGGCCCCTTTTCTCCATACGTTCAGCTTCGACTTCCGATCGAAAACATAAGGGAAACCTGAGGCAAGCTGTGAAACACTTAAGGAACACGGAGCCCCTCCCCAACGAAAAGGGTTCCTTCTTCAGGGCCCCGACTGTACTTCGGGGGAGAGAGGGAGGCTTCTTGGGAGGAGGCTGCTGCTCAGAAGGCGCCAGCCTGGCATCGAGGGCTCGGGCCCGCGCCTTCTAGGAAGCGGGGGGTGCTTCCAAGAAGCCTTCTCTCCCTTCCCCCCCCTGCCCCCCCTCTGCGCGTGGCCGGCAGGCTTTCTCCTCCACCAGGCCTTGTGGGTGTGCGCGAACGCCTCCTCTCTCCTCAAGAGGGGAAGGTCGAGAGAGGACGGGCTCCGCGGGGGAGGGGGGAGGGGGGGGGAAACGCCGAGCTGGACTCGGCGACACCTCGCCGATGCATCGGCGACAGGCCCCCGGGGGCAAATCCGCACCCTCCTGGGCGGGGTGGGCAATCGGGCCCCCATGATGAACGGGCGAAACCTGCGGTCGGGAAAGTTTGCTTCGCGTGGCGCGGCGGCGACCCCGGCGACCCGCTGCGCCCTGCGAGCGCCTAGCGCGTCGCAGGGGCCAAATGGGATGGGAACAGCTCCAGACGTTGCTGCCAGCGCACCAGGGATGTGGACCGCACGTCGCTCCGCAGCGCGGCTGGCCGGAGCCAGCGGAGCGGCACCGCGAGCCAACAGCTCTCGACCATATCCCCCCCCCCCCCTGGCGCTGCCATCGGTGGCAACGGGCCCGCCATGGCGCGCTCGTGCTCTCCAGGGCAGGGTAGGCAATCGGGCCCCATCGGTAGGGAGCCCACAAAGGACGTATGCGCCCAGCTATGTACATGAACACGGCCCCTTGCAACGCGAGACCGGCCGCGTGATACGAACCCTCGCGCAAATGCGAACTCTCGAAACCAGCGTTGCTTCGTGTACGTGTACGTCCTTCTGTCGCTCCTGAATTGACTACCTACCAGACCACCCCAACCCAACCCAACCCCAAGACCCGAATTTCGGGTTGGGGGGGGTAAGGGTTCCACATGTGTTTTCCCGATGTGTCCCGATCCCCCCCCTGGAAATCGAGGGTTAATCTGAGCCTTCGGGTTGGGTTGGGGTGGTTTGGTGGGTGGTGATGTACGTCCTTCTTTCGCTCCTGAATCGGCGCTGCGTGGGCGGAGCCTGCTCCCCCCTGGCCTTGCCCCCGGCCCCTGGCGTTGCCATCAGTGGCGACGGACCCGCAGTGGCGCGCTCGTGCCCTCCAGGGCGGGGTGGGCAATCGGGCCCCGTCGGCGCTGCGTGGGCGAAGCCTGCTCCCCCCTGGCCTTGCCCCCGGGGCCCTCGCGAGCGAGCGGAGGAGGAGGAGGGGGAGGAGGAGGAGGAGGAGGAGGAGGAGGAGGAGGAGGAGGAGAAGAAGGAGGGACGAGGAGGAGGAGGAGGAGGAGGAGGAGGAGGAGGAGGAGGAGGAGGAGGAGGAGAGAAGGAGGAGGAGGAGGAGGAGGAGAGGAGGAGGAGAGAGGAGGAGGAGGAGGAGGGACGGAGGGAGGAGGAGGAGGAGGGAGGAGGAGGAGGAGGAGGAAGAGGAGGAGGAGGAGAATGAGGAGGAGGTGGAGGAGGAGGAGGAGGGGGAGGAGGAGGAGGAGGAGGAGGAGGAGGGAGGAGGAGGCGGAGGAGGAATGGGATGGAGGAGGAGTGGAGGAGGAGGAGGAGGAATGGAATGGGAATGGGAATGGGAATGGGAATGGGAATGGGAATGGGGGAATGGGATGGGAATGGGTGGAGGAGGAGGAGGAGGAGGAGGAGGAGGAGGGAGGGAATGGAGGAGGAGGAGGAGGAGGAGGAAGGAGGAGGGAGGAGGGGAATGGGAATGGGAATGGGAATGGGAATGGGGAATGGAATGGGAATGGTGGAGGATGAGAAGGAGGAGGAGGAGGAGGAGGAGAGGAGGAGGAGGAGGAGGAGGAGGAGGAGGAGGAGGAGGAGGAGGAGGAGGAGGAGGAGAGGAGGAGGGGAGGGGGAGGAGGAGGAGGAGGAGGAGGAGGAGGAGGAGGAGGAGGAGGAGGAGGAGGAGGAGGAGGACCGCGGGGGCGAGGCTGCGGACATGCTCGCCGCTTGCGCAGGGAAGTCCAGGAGTCCAAGCGGCGAGTCGGATCGGAAGTCGACGCGAATCGCGTCGGCGGAGATCGGCAGCCGAGGCGGGAGAAGTCGAATCGGCAGAAATCGGCAGGCCTGCAAGCCTCCAACAAGAGATCTGAACACACATCGGAATCCCAAGTCGAATCGAATCGGCGGGATCGGAAGCCATCAAAGTCGAATGGAATCGAAACCCAGACGTGCGACGTCTTGATTTCTCAACACGGGGCCCCTGAGAGTCCAGACCCTTTCCCCAGAGCCGATTTCTTATCCCGAGTCGTCTTCTGACGGTCCCGGGGCCCGGCGAGGGCCCCCCAGGGGCCGAAATTGGCCTCAAACCTCCCGTCAATTTTTTTTGTAAACGACGCGACCACGTCTGGGAGGCGAGCCCTGCTCGTGCGGTCCTGTGATCTGTGAACCTCAGCGTCCAGCGGCCGATGCCCTTCTCGGGCCTCGACCGCCGAGGCCGGCGCAGCGGCGGCCCGCTGCCCCGCGGCGCGGCGCGGCCGCGCTCGTCCCCGGACGAGGCCGGCGCGGACGCGGCGTCCGCGGCGGCCTCGTCCACGGCAGCGCCGGGTGGCGGCTGCATCGCCGAGGCCACTCCCGGGGCTGGAGCAGGGACGGGCCGTCCCGGCAATCCTGCAGGCCTGCCACGAAATCTTCTCGGACCCCCAGGCAAGATGCCCCGAGGACGAAAAAATAGCAGTGCCCTCACAACAAGAGCCCGAGGTGCTCAAACAGGACACTCCCGGCCAGAAAAGTTCCAAGAACACTTCGTGCAGACCACGGAAGGTTCTGAGAGCATTCTCTGGTGGGCTTGTAGGCGAGCCAGGACGCTTCGCCACTGCTTGAGGGACAGAGGAAAGCAGAACCTGCACCAGCAGAAACGTTCAGAACTCCACGCGGGTGCCTCGGATCGGCGCTGGGCCCCCTGGCGGTGCCTCCGGCGCGCCGCCCCTGGCAGCGCCTCCGACCTTCAGGAGGGAAGCCTGGTGCCGCACCAAGAAATCAGCGCGGACCTTCCAAAGATTACGTTGGGGACATTGGGCACGGAACCCTTAGATAAGGATTCCAGGGTCTCGGAGCCAGTGGAAACTCCCATCGTGGATCGGCCATGGATATCACCGCCGCCCCCCCTTGGATAAGGAATTCCCCAGGGTCTACAGCCTCTTGGGTACATTCCTTAACGAATGCCCCCACCGTATGCTGGTGCAGCAACTTGTTCCTCAATGGGGGGGTGCTGCGGCAGAAGCAGT